TGTGGTAGTAGGCAACTTGTAGAGAACTACAGAGGCATTGCCAAGAGTGTCTTATCTAAACTGTTCGAGCGAATTGTGGCTCAGCTTATAGCCTTTTCCATGAAATTGTATATGGTTTTTGAAAGGGAAGATCTACGGTGACCAATCTGTTAGAGTTTACTTCTCATGTTTTCAAGGCTTTTTCTAGTGGTTCTCGCACTGATGTCATTTACACTGACTTTAGCAAAGCATTTGATATTGTTAATCATAGACTACTTAGATTTAAACTCCAGATCTCTGGCTTTCCTCTCTTCTTAGTGGAATGGTTAAGCTCTTATCTGCATGGTAGATCATTCAGGGTTTTGTTTAACCTCGTTACCTCGGATGAATTCCCCGTGACGTCTGGCGTACCTCAAGGTAGCCACTTGGCACCTATTTAATTTCATTTATACATCAATGATTTGCCCTCCGTGATTAAATTCAGTGAGATTTTAATGTATGCTGATGATGTGAAACTGTTTTCTTCTTTTTCCGTAGAATCGCAATCACATCATCTTCAAAGTGATTTGAACAATTTGGTTGCATGGTGCTCTCTCAATCTTCTGAAACTAAATCTAAATAAATGTAAGAAGCTTTCTTTCTTAAGAAGGAAGTCGTTCAGTACTGAATACTTCATTGATTCGCACAGGGTGCAAGACGTCGATTCGTTCATAGATTTAGGCATTCTATTTGATTATAAGTTACGTTTCAATTTGCATATTGAGTCCTCGTTAAACAAAGCTAGGTCCGCGCTTGGTTTTATGAAGAGGTGGTCCAAAGAGCTTGATGATCCTTATATTAGGAAAAGCCTTTACACGTGTTTGGTTAGACCTATACTTGAGTATGCCTCTGTTGTGTGGTCTCTTTCATATAGGTGCTACGTAGATTCAATTGAATCTATACAAAAGCAATTCTTGCTGTTTGCCCTTAGGAATTTGGGTTAGGACCCGATTTCCCCTCTTCCACCCTATGAAAATAGGTTGCTTCTGTTTTACCGCCACTCGAGAAACGTAGATTTGTTCTTGGTGTTTCCTTCTTAATCAAATTAATAAATGGTGCAATTGACTCGCCCGCATTACTTCGTGAGATAGGCCTTAATGTCCCTAACCGCTTCTCTAGGCACTTTATGTTGATAAAGCTTAGTCAATGCAAATATAATTTTGAACTGTTTAACCCTCTCAGAGTTGTTTGCAAGAACCTAAATGACCTATATTATTTATTCTCATTAACGGACTCTTTAAAGTCCATTAAAGCAATATTGCGTAATACGCGCGATTTACCTATGTCGTATTTAAACTGACTTAACCTTAAATATGTCATTATGAGTCGAAAATTAATTTGTTGTTAACAATTATCGGTTGCCAAGCTTATGCATGTTTGCGATGGCTTAGGGGTTCACTTGCAATTTGGTCCTGTATCGGTTGCGGGTGTGGCTCTATGCTAGTTGTGTACATGCTGTTTTTTTTTTTCTTTTTTTTCCTCCTTATTTGTTTTATTATACTTATACTAAGTTTTATTATTAATTAATTTTAAGATTTACTTAAGAGTCAATTGAACTCGACTGCCATTTTGTTTTAATTGAGTTTCTAGTATAAGTGGAATAAATAAATAAATAAGCCAAGAACCCAAATGTATAAAAGCTTAGATTCAAAATCTCAAAATGTTTAATAACAGAATTAAGAACTCAAATGTATGAAAGACTAAGTAAAAACTCAAAAGTACAAACACAAGCAAAAACTGAAAGTGTTTAAAAGCAGAGTTAAGAACTTAAATGTATAAAAGACTAAGTGAAAAAACTCAAATGTATAAAACTATAAGTAAAAACGCAAAATGTCCAAAAGCATAAGGGAAAAAAACCCACAATGTGCAAAAACAAGAGTTGAGAACTCAAATGTAGAAAGCATAGGTTTAAGAATCCAACCTGTATTAAAACATAAGTATAAGAACACAACCCGACTCATACAATTAAGTAAAATCGAATCGGTATGAACGCAGTAGGGTACACACACAGAAGCTACAGCAGCACTGTACAAAGCTGATAGCACCGTTAGGGCAAACAAAACATGCAGAACTGACCTTAGGTAGAAATCTATACATGCAAAACGAACAAACTTCAGCAAAAATCTCTATGCTGCAAAATGCGTAGATTGTGTAGCACCGTTAGGGTATACAAAACTTACAGGAGTAAGTTCATAGGTAGGAAAAATAAGAACATACGACAATGCATAAACTGCACAAAGGCACGATCACACATGCCAAGCACGTAGAAACACACAAAGCAAAGCGTATGCAAACACAAAGGCATAGTAACGCACAAACACTCACGTACCGAACGGTGGTTGAATCACGCGATTTGGTACCTGAGAGTCTGCTGAGCAGACATTTGAGCAAGCGTAGTGATGAGCTAGACGTAAGTTATGTATAAGCAGGATCATGCAAGTCGTAACTAAGGTTGCGACTGCAGCCAACCTAAGCTAAGCATACACCTAACCATATGTAAACACCTAGAATATGTTGGCAAGAAGACAAGCGAGCGGGACTTCAGCTATAAAAGAGCAGCGCATCGCACATAATCTTTCAGTTTGGTGTCATAGCCGTCTAAGGTAAGTACCTACGGACAATTTGACGAGTTGACCTTTACAAAGAATTATTTTTTCTTTTGACTTTACGGATAGGGGATGTGTTGGTTTAGCTGTTAACCGCCATCCCTGAAAGACTCTTAGGACTAACCCTAGGGATAGGGGATGTGCTGGTTTAGCTGTTAACCGCCATCCCTGAAGGACTGGGAGGGAACATCCTTTTTCTTTTTACATACGAAGGACCATCCAGAGACGAACTAGTGGCCCAGGCAACTATGACAGTGGCAACGTTTCCACTTTTCTTGTAGTGTTCCGCGATAGTTAAAAGAAAACAAAGTAATAATAAATAGAAATAAATCTCGCACCACGTGGAAGTCACACCAGAAGTCGCTGTACTTCTCTCCAGTAAAAAGGAAATAATAAATAAAGGAATTTGTACACCATTCCCCCCGAAGGTCCGGATTATTTTTTTATTCTAAATTTTCTTGCAACGAACCTTGGAGTGGCTGAGTTATACCCCGCCCAAGAAAACCCGTTACAACACAATCTGCGAAATATGGTTTGGGCACAAGGCCTCACAGTTTCCCTCGAAAATGGGGACATCAGAACCCCCAGAGGCAGAGCTCATGCTCATACCAGAAGTGAGTATAGTGTATTTATTCAGTCTAGAAAAAATGCTTTCCCAACAGTAGAATTTGGCCGAAATTTATACCACGATTTCGATTACTTTTCATAACTTTTTTCGTTTCTAACAAAAAAATCAAATTGATGTCTTCCAATGCCCTTACGATAAATTCTATTGCCGCCAATACTTCACTTAACAACATCTATAACGAGTATATATCATCCGAATTTGGTGAAATCCGTGGTGTCGCTTCTATCTCCTCTGATTTCATTGAACTTGAAGTCCACTCAAACGCATGTCGCAAGAATCTGCCCAAATTCGGTCTCCTACCTGGCTTCTGCAAAGTTGCGGAAGTGATGCGCTTCATTAAACTCGACCAATTCTTTAACTCCCTTGTGCCGTTGGAATCAATCCGTTTGAGTCTTTCCGGGAATGTTTTGCCTTCCAACAACTGTTTGGAAGGCATTAACTTCCCGGTTAAACCATATATCGAGCCGACATTACAATGCCGCAAAGGTTGTAATATAAAAAATGTATCAATTGTAAGAATGATCATTTATTTAATTCGAAAACTTATTCTTCTATAAAAAAATTACTAAATCCAAAAACGATTCAGCAGATTGAAGCCTCAAATATACACCTTCTCTCGAAATGCTCGAAACAATAGTTTTTCCTACTCTCTAGAAAGTTTCGCTAAATTGGACAAATTCAAGATTTTCTTAAAAGCAGCAATTTAGTCTTACTAAATAATGCAGATCCTACTCATTTTGGTTCCATCTCTTCTTCCATTGATCTTTCAATCTGTACACCTAATCTAAGTTCTCTAAATATCTGAAAGATCCTTAACGACACCTTAGGTAGTTCTCACTATTCAATCGAAATTGGTCTCCATTTGTGTCCTATTATCCGCTGCTACTCACATACCCATATTCCAAAGTATATCAAACTTTCTTTACTTAGCAATACTATCTGCAACATTTCAAATACCACTCAAAGCAATGACTCTTCCGATTGTTTCCTTGATAGACTTTCAAATACTTTCACAGGTGCTCTGAACCGAAACTATTCTAAAAGATCCTACTCTCCTTTATTAACATAGTAAACAACCCTCCATGCATATGTGAAGTCTTACCATCTGTTGACCATATCCTCTTTGTCTGTCCGAATAGCATGACTTCTATTCGTCATTCCACACTTCACAAAGTGAATATATGTGGTCTTCGTGACCACGGCATTCTTGACGTTTTGTGTTTTCGCAATTTAACAGCTTACGTTGCAATCTTTTCCATTTTTAAATCATGCCATCAAGATATATAAGCGTTTACAGTTAATTTATGAACCTACTCTCTTTTACACTTTTTTGCTCTCTCATCCATGAATTCCTTCATATAACTTTTTATACTCATATATCGCATTGCATCTTACACATCGGAATTTACTCCTCGTTCTTTTGTTCTATCCTACGTGACGAACGGATAATATGCGTATTTTAATACAAAGTATAAAAAAAAAATAACGTGGAGAACGTATAACACGCAAGATTACCAAATAATCACTAAAATAAATAAATAATAATATCATATATCCCATCTAACCCCAACTTTGCTAATGCCCAAACAAAGAACTCTGTGTTCACATTATGCCTTTTTCACACATCTCAGCGAATTTTTAGTTATTAATTTACTGAATAACACAAGAAGAAGAAGAAGAAATAACATTTTGCCTCCAAGTTGCTACCTAAAACAATTAAGAATAAGTAAATTGAGTTGTATAAACTATCAATAAGCTAAATATATAAGTCATGGCAGCGATGGTAGGTCGCCGTAAGGATATATGGAGATTATTATATAGCTTAGTAAATTGTACTACAACAGACTTGAATGATGTTTTCGCTTTTATTAACGATATATTGTGCAAAGAACATAGTTTGATAAGACAATCAACGCGAGAATCGACAAACTGTTTCCAGGATACTTTTATATTATGGCTGACAAGCAAATTGATTAAGTGTTTTACTTTTCAAGATGAAAATATGTAAGTATGCTCAAGTTTTTGGATTGCTGCAGCTTTATTTTAACGTTGTTTTCCTTCATCAGTTTAGAACAAAACTTACAAATTCAACATAAGCTATTAGATTCGTGCTTAATTAACCGCCCAGCCCTGTTTGAACGACTGGTAACGGCTTATGTGCAAGCTATAGATCAACTTATCGAATCATATGCCAAAGAGGACCTCTTGTCCGATAGCCCGAGTCAACTATATATAACAGCATTTACCACAACGGACACTTGCTTAAAAACAATAGACGAGCATTTTAGTTTTGATTGCGTACAAGTAAGCATTGAAGAAGTGAATGACATTGCACAAGCTCTTCTACAAGTTGTAGATCATTGTCTGATTGTTGGGTACGCCGATTTTCCCGCAATATTTGAAAACTCCCTACTCATCATTTTTAAAACGCTTAAAGAATGCGATATTATTACAAAGTTATATTGTTTTCAATACGTTAAAAGTGTTTTTAGGAAAACTACGATTTTAAATGAACATTTACATGGCATATTTGAATTGACATTGGAGGCGCTAACTGTAATATGGGAAAAATTGCCTGTTTGGTTGGACAATAATTGCTTCTCTCAAGAGACTTTCAACGATTTAATTGATGAATCGTCTTCAATTGTAGTTACGTTGGCAAGATTTCATCAACAATTGATCAACAAAAGCCAAATACTTCAACATTCCGTTAGCTTAATGCAATATACTGTAGAGTTACATCATTGGCGAAGTGAACGATTGCATTATGATTTAACACTTCTAACTCAATTTGTTAGATCTTTAATTAACTTTGCGTTTCCCTTGATGCATTACTATCCGGAAGTACATCAAAATTTATTAAAGAAAGAATTAAATCAATCGTTGAAAAAATCATCAGAGTCATATATTTTGATGATGCGTTTATTGCCTCCTTTAATTAATATTAAACCTTTAAAGGAAGAAACGCAAATACTTCTGCAATATATATGGAATAAAATTGATAGTTTTCCTCAAAAAAACTATATTTTAAAACACGATTATGATGCAGTTATAGAATCAATAGCTTCATTAATGCTTATAGAGCACTCGTTAGTGCGAAGACAGCAACAAAAATTTCTAAATAAGGCGGCGGATTTGGATTTAAAAAACTTACCACTTAGCTTAAATGCTGTTGATTTATTGATCCCACTAAATCTAAAGAAAGAAAGCGTACGTTTGACCTTAGAAAGTATTGTAACTAAACTGAAATCAATATCTACGGATGGCAACAATTTCCTTGATTATTCAGTTAAGATGGCCGGGCTTATATTGAAATCGGATTTTATGCGTAGTTTCCTCACCCAGAAAGCGCAATTTGCGCTCTTAGAGTTACTTTTGCATCCTTTAAAAAGCTCTACCGTGTATGTGAAACAATCCCAGTTAGTAGACAATTGCTTAGATCTTCTAAATCAATTACAATTTGAGGTCTCCTTGGAGGCGCAAAAACTTATTACCGCCTCGACAGCGGCCATAATCAAGAATGTGTTCGAAAATTCGTCGTCTCTCAGTTACAAGTCAAAATTTTCTCAGAGCTTAGAGCACTTTTTGGCATTTGGATGGTTTGAAAATGATTTCTTATTGAAGGAGTTTAAAAAACTTTTGCTTAGTTATCCCGATTTATTTTACATATTTTTGAAAAACATAAGCTGCCTTAATGCGCAAAAATCTTATACCGTCATTGCGACATTTGGAGCATCCTCCGAAATTGCTAGTTTGGAACCGTATCATTGGTTTAGTCTGGAGATAATTTGCCATGAATGCCAACCATTTGTTAAAAGTGGCTCTGAACTGATGAAATATTTAGAAAATCACGAGGCGGTCATAAGACTTCAATACGAAACTCAGGCTTTTGAACGAGAAAAAGGCTTACCAGGTGAAGTTCACACTCATTTGCTTCGGCAGCTATTTGTAAAGCCTCATTACGCTTTCGCAGTCAATCATTTAAATAACTATAATGTTACAGTTGAGGATTGTGTTGAAATTATTACAAAATCCTTGGATATTTCCTGTTTCCATTTGTCTACGTTTAGTTTAATGGTTACAGAATGTTTCAAACCTCATCATGAAAGCAAGTTTTTGCGACCAATTGCATGTGCTCTTCTGCAGCATACTACGAAATCGTTGAAATCTGTTAAAAATGTAGACTATCAACGGGCTGTGTTACAACTACTTACTTGTTGTACGGAAAATGGTTGGTTAAGCGAACAGTGGCTATATCATTTTTTCAAAATGACTTTTTTCTATTTAATACATCCAAACTCTAAGGTGGCCCATGAAGCCGTTTTATGTGCCACAGAAATGTGTGCTCGTTATGGTATTCAACCCATACAGTTGTGGAATTGGTATAAACGCGATGCATTAAACTTATTGAAAGAACTTATTGTCTTTTCATATCTTGCGAAAGGTATTCGCATGACTAGATCGTTAAAATCTGTAAGTGAAAGTAAATCATTTTATTGCGTTTGAAATCTTTTACTAGATTGTTTGATTTTCTTGTTTAAAACCTTTAGTTCACCAACATGCTGGGTTTCTCTTGTGTACAAGAGTTTATCTGCAAATATTATCGGCTTTTAGTTGCCATAATTCTGCCATATTGTGTTAAGGAACCGCGTTGCAAGGGCCTCATTATTAGTATTTCAAAAATGACACGCAAACCCGTATCTAACCTGTTCATTGTTTCATTTCTACGCACATACAGTCACATTTACTTAACTGAAGATTTTGAAGTGGGAAACGCTTGCATTGATCTAATTATTAAATGTACGGGAACCGATCTCAACCATTTGATGAATGCAGATGTTAAAGTGAGTTTCTAATTACTTTTGAATAAAAGCAATAAATCTTGTGCTTTTGTAGCAAACTGTTTCAGAATTTCTGGTGTATTTTAACAGGAGTCCCCTGTTTGTAATGCAAGCATTTCAGTGCCTGTTGCCTCGTGAGATAGGCGCTAAATCGTTGACGAGTCCCACACTTGAATTTACTAATTTTATTGCTGATCGTTTTTTGGGAGTAATAACATATTTTCAAACCTGCTTAGCCGAGCCAAATTTCGAAAAATCCCTTAAAGAAGAGACTCTCTACAGTTTAGCACAAATTATGCGCTTAATCGGTTCGCAAAATGTAACGCAATTTCGCTTCAAAATTATGGCTATGCTTAGTTTTGTTCTAACTCTTCACGATGGAAATTTGCAAAATATTTGTTTGAAAATTTGGCATATTTTCCTGCATATTGTCAATATTCAAGAATTGGGACCGTCGTTAAGTCGGATAGTTGCTACATTACAACCTCTGCTACCACAAAACTTCGAAGAAATTAACGATATCTATCATTATTTGATTTTAAAAAATGATAATCTTCTCGGTTTGTATATCCCGAATTTATACTTTTTGGAAAGTGAAGTGAATCTTAGATCGGAAATTCACGCTTATGTAAAACAACAATCTGATCTGTCGAAAACTGAACGTTCAAGTTTTTTGGAAAAATTGGGGTTTCTTTATAAACAAATCTCCAATGAAAACCTGCAAGTTCGTATACATGGATTACGATATTTAAAGAGTTTTATTAGTCAACACCGCGAAGAAATCAACCATTTAACGTTGGATATAATAAGGGTTGATCCTTTATTGGAGAATATTGTTGATAATCTGGTATCGGGCAGTTGTCACGAGGACAGGAGTATGCATTTGGCGTCTGCGAAATGCTTAGGCGAATTAGGAGCTGTAGATCCAAGTTATATGCCTTCAAACTACTCCTTTGAAAATGGTATCGATATATCGTTGAGCGTACATACAGACGACTTTGCGGTATTAGCTTTAACCGAACTATGTCGAGCTTATCAATATAAAAAGGAAACAAAATATGTAGATAACTTTTCTTTAGCCATTCAAGAAACCTTATCGGTTTTTGGTATATCACCTAAAGAGAGTAAGAAACTTAATGTTTGGATGGCAATACCGAAGCGAACGCAACAGGTTATGGAGCCGTTCTTGAGCTCTTGCTATACAGCCAGCAAGCGGGAAAATAAAAATAGCGAACATCCTCTCTTCAAAAGTAACGCATTGAACTCTTATGAAGATTGGGCTTTTGCTTGGAGCTGTCGTTTAATAGATTTGGTGCAAAATGACGAAACTAATCATCTACTCAACTCATATAAACCCAGTATGAAACGTGATAATAATATGTTGGCATTATTCTTTCCATATATATTGCTGCATGCTGTGCAGGAATGCGATGAAATCGCATTTCAATGTATATTTGAGGAATTTCAAGCAGTGTTTAATTATGGCGGGTCTGATCCTCGAGATCACATCCAAACAGAATGCGATTTGGTTTGTTTTAAAGAATTTAAATCAACAAAATATTCAGCACATAATGTATCAACGACAATGTTAAAAAAGGTGTCCAACTTTATGGATACGGGCAAGAAATTAGAAACTTGTATTAAGTTGTGTTCCGAACAGTTGGACTTTTTGCAGAGATGGCTGCGAGAATGGCAGCGTGTGCACATGGTTGGAGGCAAAATATCAGAACCGGATCAGCGTTACAAAGCGATCGAAGAATTTATGAAAAAGTTTAATAAATTTAATGTGTCAAAGGCCAATTACGATGCGGGAGATTATACACGAGCTTTACTCTATTTAGAGGAATATATAGAAGAAAATATTGAATCAAGATTGCAAGAGCAACTTTCCTTTTTAATTGAAATTCATGGTAAACTTATGGATTCTGATTCGGTGGAGGGTGCGGTTTATCTCAAGAAGACAAATCTTACTTTGGCCGAGGAGATATTGGTAAATCGTATTGTAGATCGTCCTCAAGATACGATTACTTGTTACGAACAATTGTTGTGTAGTGGTGATACCATCAATCAAGAGCATATCAAAGGCATGATTGATTGTTATCTGCGAATGGATATCTCTGCCACAGCTTTACTTACATTTGATGGTTTGTGGCAGAAGTTGAACGATCAATATACTGATGATTATTTTAAAGAATGCAAATCTGAATTGCTTTGGCGATTGGGGCGCTACGATGAGCTTGAAGATTTGTTAGAGAACTCAGTGATTAAGAGTAAGATTACCAATTGGAACATACAATGCGCTGATGCATTTCTATTGTTTAGACAGCCAAATGAAATTGACAATGCTTCTTCGCCTGGATTAGCTTATTTTCAGCAACAGTTGGATAATATTCGTAGTAATATCCTTTTTAATATGCGTTTGTGTTCCGGTGTTAATGAGTATTCCTATGATAGTTGCTATGACGAAATGATAAGATTGCATATGTTGGATGAGGTGGAAAAAAATAAAGTTCTAATTAACAATATTGTGACCAGTATTAAGAGGCCCGTTCAAACAGGAAATTTGAAAGAAGAATGTATGCGCAAAATCCAGGATTTTTTTAATAATTGGAATGCGCGATTAAAAATTCTCCAACCCATGGCGCGCGTTGTAGAACCCGTATTTTGTTTGAGACGTAATCTACTTTCGGAAACAAAGCGCATTTTGTCTAAATACGAAAATCATAACAAAGAACTGGTGAAACTCGTTAATGATTGCGTGAATGAGGAAATTGGTAAATTATGGATACGCAGTGGTCAAATGAATCGTGTAGCTGGTTGCCTGCAACAAGCACAACTAAGCCTTATGAAAGCCGAGCCATATAAGCCTCTAACTTTATTTTTAGAAAAAGCTAGACTAATGTGGCAAAAAGGAGAACAAACCTATACATTTAAATTGCTAGAAGAAAATATTCTTCGTTTAGAATCTTGTTGCGCAGGAGACATACGCAAACTTGATAACGTTCAGCGTGGCTTATATGCTGAGGCAAAATTTCTACAGGCTACCTATAACGCCGAATCTATGAATATTTGTTCCGAATTGAATTTGCGTTATTTCAAGGAAGCTTTGGAAGGCAATCGCTGTTCTGAAAAGTGTTACGTTCATCTAGCTCAATACATGGAAAAAATCTACGATTCCTATGCGGTAGATCAGAGGGAAGGAGAAATTGGGTACCGTCTATTGCAAGATATAATGCTAAATTACGCTAAAGGTTTGAAGTATGGTTTTGCCAACGTCTATCAATCCCTACCACGCCTACTGAGTATATGGTTGGACTTTACTTCGTACCTGGCAAGTTTATGTGATAAGCCCGCCTCAGGTTCGGCAACAGCTACAAAGTTGGCGGCGTTTCAAGAAATAGCTCGCAAAATGAATGATTTAATTAATAACTGCAATAATATACTCTCCACTTCCATTTTTTATACGGCCTTTTCTCAATTATTGAGTCGGATATGTCATCCTTCCAAAGAGGTCTATGAAACTTTAAAGAATATCATTGTTAAATTAATCGAGCATTTTCCTCAACAATCTTTATGGATGCTGTTGCCGGTTTTTAAATCATGTCATTCCACTCGTATAAAGCGCTGTCATCTGATTTTTACAGATTCTCGCTTAGACAAGCCAATATTTCAAAAGTTACTAAAAGATTTTAATATGCTGTCAGAGCGTCTAATTGAATTAACAAACAAGGATGTAAGCTTTGATCGTTCTTATGAATTAAGTTCATTAGTTCGGCAGCTGCCGCGCCTTTTTCGCGATCCAAATTTTTCAGAAATTATGCTACCGTTTGAAAAATACATGCAAATATCATTTCCCATCAATGCCAATGCTGCAGAATCTCTAAGTTTAAATAATAACAACGAAGTTGGAATGCCGAATACCAGCGGTGATGGTTTCGCTTCGATAATACCTAGTAATCCATTCCCTTATAAGTCTGTATATATCCGAGGTATCAGCGAAGAAATAGTGGTTTTACGTTCAGCTGCTAAGCCCAAGAAAATTTGTATTGAATGTAGTGACGGTTTGAGTTATAATGTAATGATAAAACCGAAGGACGATTTGCGGCGGGATTTTCGCTTAATGGAATTCAATGGTCTAGTTAAACGCTATCTACATCAAGATTCTCAGGTAAACTTTCATGGTGAATATATTTCGCATAAATATGGTTCCGACAATGTTTTTTTTTCGCAAAGGCACGTCATCGAAGTTTACGCATACGTACATATGCTGCTATCCCCTTTAATGAGGAATGCGGTTTAGTCGAGTGGTTGCCTCGATTAAATTCATTTCGTGGGATTTGTACTTCGTTTTATCGTATGCGCGGCCTTGGTGTGCCTGATCGCATTTTACGCCAATGTGTTCTTGCACAAACTGAAAGTATTGAAAAAAAACGTGCTTTGTTTACTCAAAAGCTATTACCCCGCCATCCCCCATTATTTCATAATTGGTTTCATCAACAATTCCCCACTCCACATAGTTGGTATCAAGCACGTACTGCTTATGTTAAGACTGTAGCTGTTATGTCCATGGTTGGCTATATACTGGGATTGGGAGATCGTCATGGCGAGAATATACTTTTCGACGAAACAAATGGTGACGCTGTTCATGTCGATTTTAATTGCCTTTTTAATCAAGGCGAATGCTTCGCATATCCCGAAGTTGTTCCTTTTCGTCTTACACACAACATGGTTTTCGCGATGGGCCCTTTGGGTGTTGAAGGTCTCTTTCGCAAATGCTGTGAAATTACTTTGCGCGTTTTAAAGGATGAAGCTAAAACTTTAAAATCAATTTTACGTCCATTCGTTTATGATTTGGGTAATTTAAATCGCACTAAAGCAAAATCGTCGCCCGACTTGGAAATAACCGATCCTAAAGCTATGTTAGACGTCAGGCGTATCGAAGAACGTTTACAGGGTTATGTAAGTGTATAAGAGTTTATAAGTATTTTATTAATAATGGAAGTTGAATCATTACAGGTGAAAAAAACTGAAGCCAATGGCATTCCCCTATCTACCGAAGGTCAAGTGAATTTCTTAATTAATGAAGCTACCGATATTGATAATTTGGCTGCCATGTATGTCGGATGGGGTGCATATCTTTAAAAGTCACATTCACTGAGTTGTGTAATTAAAAAAAATAAATGTATACCTTAGAGAAAATTATAATTAAGTTTTCCTTATTTTCAATTCTTCTACAAAATTACAGATATGTTTATAGCACCCACGTAAAACTAATAATGTATATAAGCGTTACCTTACATAGGAGATTTATGGTCATTGGCATTGTATACAAAGATTTCACAACAGGCCGGCTACTGTTAAAATGTAATATGCGGGTGAGATCCAACTTAATGATAATTTACATAACATCAGCGATCATATGCAATCCAATATAATTATAAACGTTTTTACTAAAATGAATACGCGAATACGATGACGAAACATAAAAAACTGTTGCGAGAATGCAAAGAAATCAAACTCAAATCATAGTGAATCAAAAGAATAAATTGGTTATGTTAGTATCGAAACTTAGTTCCTTAAGAAGAGCATTACTTGTATGGTTAGGTATGAGCATTGCTGAAAAATTTCTTAAAACTTCGCGTCGCAGGTAACGTTTGATAGATCTCATAACTTATTTTGCATTCAGTTCCATCTTCATGATGAGCATCATCAATTAGAGATTTATGTGAGTTGAGAAGTATTTTACCAAGTTCGAATAATCGTTTATGGCTGGCGTTTCTAATAGATTTATCTTTAAAATGCCAATTTTGTAGTTTTAACAAATTTTTTTCTGTTTAAAATTCTACATCAAGAATCTTATACAGGTTTGCTTGGAATGGCGTTGATTTATGTCCTTTAGCTAATGATTCAAGAGTGCTCAGTAACAAGGTAGTCAATAAATCTGGAATGCCTTTGGCACGCATATCATGAAATTAATTTTTATGACTTTACTGCAATTTGTTCGTTTTTGTTGAAACCTGGGAAAATGCCAAGGGTATACGTATGAATATCGCCTCGAATCTTTTTTTAGTATGATTATCTCATATATTTCAATATTAATGGTTTAAAAGAACTAATGATGGTTAATAAGGGTAGAGCCAAATTACTGTTCAGCTCTGCTTTTAGTGCTGAAAGTTAACTTGAGCTTTTACGGAAATATTCGGAATTATTTGTAACGTGCCAATCTAATATAAGATAGATTGGGTTATCAAAAATGCTGCGTCTGATCTATTCATCAAGTCGGTTTCAGAGGAAAAGTTCTCCCCAAGTCTGTCAAGTTTAATTATTGTAACCTCCCTGTGGATTATATCGTACCCATCTTTAAAGATTTTAAATGTGGCAGATATGGGCATGTGTTGCAGTTTTTCAAAGCCAAAAACAACTGGTGTCTTACTTATTGCACCGTGTACTGAAACTGTGAAGTGATGAGGTGTCTGTCCTGTGGTTCAAGTGAACACAAAACTCTGAATAAATCTTCCTTTAACAGAGAGGGTGAGTTAACAATCAACAAGATTATGGCCATTACAAATTTTTCCTACAAAGAAGTGAAAGAGATATTTTCCGCAAATTGCTTTGAATGTCTGGATGATAATTCTTATGATGGAAACTTCCGTCCATTGGGGAACTCGTTCGCCAATTTAGCTAAGGAGGATAATTAGAATGTTGACAAGATTTTAAGAAAGAAAAAATGTAATGCAGTCGTTAAAAGGAAATCTGTTATTTCCACACCGTCTCCCAGTTCACCTCTAAAGGTCTGTAACAAGATCACAGCGGCCAGTGATTTCGAACAACAATTTGTGCTCTTCGGAACTTGATTGACTTAATCTCTGCGATTAAAGATTGTACCCGTCCGATGATCCTTCAGAATCTTGTTAAGGAATTTGAAGAAAAAATGTCTTATTGTGTTGATTCTCGCTACGATCAAGTGCCTGGTGCTTTGAGTAAATTCGTCGGAATACCGTTCTTATTTAAAATATGATCTCTTCTACAATATAAAATCCAAAGTGTTCGGCGTAACTTATTGTGTTTAGATTTTTAGATGAACTCAAATAATATTGAGGTCTGCATCTTAAGAGAAGCTTTTCTAAAATAAGACAATTTGTTAAGTTAAAAGTTAAGTTAAAAGTTTCAATTATATATCAGCCACCAAATGGCATGAAGACGGCTATGATGGTGTTAGCCCATTAGTCCAGAAAGGTGTCAATTCTAGACCTATTCCTTACAATTCTACTGTTGGCGTTATTATCATCAAAACCATCAATTGTAAACCGGGTCATTTAATGTAGCAGCATCATGTTACTTTCCACCCAGTGTGGATGTAGAAATTTTTCGTGAGGAGATTCAGAGATTATGTGACTTTCTACTGGAGATTTCAATGCTAAACACTGCTAGCATGGCGATCAGCTCCCAACCAGCAAAGACAAGATCTTTGTAAATGCCATCATTGTCAGCAGTTTTAATGTTTTAAATAGTAGTAATATTATCTATCAATGCAACCGGAGTGATCACACGGCGAGCAGTGTCTTGGATATAACTTTTCCTTATTCAACTGTATTATCATTCAACTGGAATACGACTAATGTCTCAATTGGCAAAAGTCAACACTCTTCCATTTTATTTCAAAGTTGCAGCAATTCCGTTAAAAAAACAGAAAATTTCAGTTCATGTAAATTTCTTATGGACTGTTTATCTAAAATTGGTCTTTCTTCTGATTTATCATCAATTCAAAGTCTTTTTAGTCTGAGATTAAGTCTGCTAGAACTGATATTGAATTCTTCTCACCTAAACGTTGGTGGAAGCCTTCTCTGCAAACACTCTTTCGCAAACACCACGCTGCAAGAAAAAAATGAGTAAATTCGCCAATCCAGTCAACTCCATTTGATGATACAACACCCAGAAGGATGAAGGTCTGAAGTTGAAGAAAGGCGAAAAGGAAACATAGAGCTATCATGATTAAAAAGTTGTGTGGCAATGGCAGCTTGCGTTTTTTCTGGAATTATATCAATGGTCATCCACATTTTAGGTAAACATTGAATGGCTGTGCTGTACTGTACGAATCTGATAATAGAAGATACTTAGATATTCTCCAGAGCTATATTCCAAGTGACAATCAAATTACAATATCTTCACTTACTCTTAGTATGTGAGTTAATGTATGTTTTACATTCCTGAAAGGCAGCTACCGTTGCAGGTTGTGACGGAGTTAAGTAAGATAAAGTTAGAGCATTGTCTGGGGAAAGCTTAACTATTCTGTTGCATACAATGAATAACTGATGGTCTATTAACTTTAGACCCCTAGATTTGCGATATATCCCATTCCTAAACCAGGTTAAGACTTGAATGATTTAAGCAACTTTCGACCAATATCGCTAATATTTGTATCTATAAAAATTACCAACCTCATGGTTAAGGAGACGATGAACAATGGATTTCCCGAAAACTGAGAACATTATTCCATCTCGTTCTTAGGCGTATTAAAACGCAAATATGCGAATATGTGCATTAATGAAATACCTTTTTTCATAACTAGTCTGGAGAAAGCTGGCAAAACGGTTGTTATGTTTTCCCTGCACATCAGCAAAGTCTGTGATTGTGTCAATTTGTGTCTTAAACTTTTCAATTCCTCTTTAAACATGTCTATGGATATTAAACTTTTTATCTAAGCGTGTGTTGGCAATGCTTACAGGCAAAGTTGATGTATATGGTGGTACTCCACAAGGCAGTTGCTTGAGTCCCCAATCTCTTCCATCTATTAGGTTGGGGAAAAAGAAGTCCATTATTTTTATATGAACTTCAGGACTTTATTTAACATGCTTCGGATTGTCCGATTTGGGTCAAATATGCACCGTTTTGTTGTATGATTTGTTGCCATTTAAAAGGTAACTTCAAAATGCCTCTCTCATAGAAGTCCTGGTCTCTATTTGCAAAAAACTCTAGTAGTCGATTTTCACAACCCTCCCTAGATTCCAATTTTTTATCATTAAAGAAATTTTGCAATGCAAGAAAAAGATGATAATCGCTTGGTGCCAAGTCCGGACTGTATGGCGGATGCATTAAAACTTCCCAACCAAGCTCCCGAAGTTTCTGGCGAGTCATTGTAGATGTGTGTGGCCTAGCGTTGTCCTGGTGGAACGCGACATCTCTCCTGTTGGCCAATTCTGGCCGTTTCTGGTCAATCGCTATCTTCAAACGGTCCAGTTGTTGACAGTAGAGATCAGAATTTAGCGTTTGGCCATATGGAAGCAACTCATAATAAATAATCCCCTTCCAGTCCCACCAAATGCATAGCAAAACCTTCCTGGCCGTTTGAGGTGCTTCACCGCTCTTTGACCACGATCGTTTTCGCACAGGGTTATCGAATGTGATCCATTTCTCGTCTCCAGTCACCATCCGTTTAATAAATGGGTCTATATCATTACGTTTGGCCAAGGCTTCGCAGATGGAAATTCGATCCATCATGTTTTTTTCTGTTAATCGGTGTGGCACCCAAACCTCGAGCTTCTTTTTGAATCCAGCTTTGTGTAAATAGTTTAAAACTGTTTTATGGTCGATTTTTAGCTCCTGGGCGATGTTACGACTGCTAACATGCCGATCAACTTCGATCATTTCTCCGATTTTATCGACATTTTCGACGACCGGCCTACCTGTGCGAGGTGCATCTTTAACATCAAAAATTCCTGAACGGAATCTACGAAATCAAAATTGCACATAGCTGGCTGTTACAGTATCGGAACCATAAACACCATTCACAATTTTAGCCGTCTGGCTTGCATTTTCGCCTTTGTCAAAGAAAAACTGTAAAATGTACCGAATTTTCTCTTTGTTCACTTCCATTTTTAACACGCTGTAACTCACAACTGAATGCACCAAACTAAAAACAGCAAAAGAATTATTTTTACTGCGAAATTTCACCTTTCCAACGAGCATAAATCTGAAATTGTTTGATCGATACTTTACGAGAAATCTATCAGTGCAGCTATCTACCGAAAAAATAATGGATTTCTTTTTCCCCAAACTAATATATAGAGCTAATTTGCATGATCTTCAAGGTGACAAAACTCATATTTTTCATTATGCAGATAATTTCTTAACTGTATTTCCGAATTCATCCTTTCCAGTAGTCGTGAATAATCTCTCGACAAAAGTTAATCTTTTGTTCGATGCATGTGCCGATCTTAATTTGTATTATAATCCTAGCAGAACAAATATTATTTATTTTGCCGAAGGTTCTAAAAGGCTCTTTTTTAAAGGAAATAAAGTTAGTCGGCTTTTCGATTTCTTGGTAGAATTTTAAATGAAAGCCTAACACTTCGCGAATA